TGTAATTATTCATTTGGTTTATGTAGTAGTTTCATACTGAATGGAGTTACTTATCCTATGTTTTTATGTTGTTTTGCAGCTTGGTGATAGATTTATAGGCCGTAGGCTGTTGCAAAAGTTTTATGATAAAGCTCTAACAATTGGCCTTCAAGGCTATGCTCAATTGTATGTCTATTCCTCCCTTTTAATTTGGGTAGTAAATACCTCATAAAACATTATGCAGTGTGCTACTTTGTATGTATAGATATTTGCTCGACGTGCATGCGCGATATTCATTTAGTTTCTTACAATATAAAGAAGGTAGGAATAGGATCTATTTATTTAAACAATAGTTTCTGTCCTTTTTAAAATATATTTATGACAAATAATGAATGGTTAATGCAGGCACCAGCCTCACTTCTTGCGCCTTGCTAATTGGGAAGGCATAAAAAAGGTTGGTGTTGTTTTTAAGAGTTTTTGGTTTAGCTTGGCATCATTGTTAGAGCAGTGAATAAAGTTGATACTAGACCTCTGTACCCTGCTAGAAACAAATTGATTAGGATAACAACTTTTTTTACGTTGTGATTCTTTCTGCTTTGAACGGAAACACTGAATTGTCGATTTATGACGTTATGAAATATTGTTAAAACCTGCAACAAGTAATTTTACTTCTGGAATTTTCAATTTTTGAACCCATGCACCACAAAATGGTTGATTGTGGATTTCTATTACTCATGAAAAACAGAAACATCCAAATGAAACAGTTGCGTGGAAATAATCTCTGTGTGTGTGTGTTTGTGCTTCGTTTAGTGGCGCTACCAGCCTTATACTAATGCTTGTTTTGTTCTTGTTCTTCAATAGTCACGCTCCATTCGTGATTTTGATCAGCATGCCACCTGCATTGTTGGGAAATTTGAGGTATAATGTCTGAGATTTCACTAATTCCTCTCACTTTACCTTTGTTCTATTTATTGCGTTAAGCATCTGTTTTTTCTTTACAGACTGTGGACACATTTTACAGGCGCTGTACCAGTGCTACTTACGTGGGAAATGTTGCTGTCCCACTCCTCTGTATCAGTGCTTTAGATGATCCAGTCTGCACCAGGGAAGCCATTCCCTGGGATGAATGCAGGTGGACCTCTTAAAGTGTTTTCTTTCAGCGGTTTCTTCTTTCACATCAGTTAAGCATATGCCTTGTATTTGTCTTCAATAGGGCAAACAAAAATATTGTATTGGCTACAACAAAGCATGGAGGACACTTGGCTTTCTTTGAAGGATTAACTGCTTCGGGCATCTGGTACTTCATGATTCCATGTTGTTTCTATATCTTTCTCTTTTGTGTTAGTCGCGACATTGGAGATTAACTTGATATATTTTCTTCCCGTAAACTTTATGTTATTATGCGTGGCTAGCCTAGTAGCAACCTCTGTAATGTTACTTAATAGCTGTGTCCTTTTAAGCTTGTCGTAATATAGTATCTTTGTCATAATACTCTCTTTGCTATGGTTGGCATGCACACTTTTGGCAACCTCGTCATAACTTTTGTTCTAGTGTGCGTGATTAATTTTCTTTCCCTTGCAGGTGGGTACGGGCTGTCGATGAATATCTTAAAATTCTACACTCTAGCCATTATATGCATGTACAGATGGTATAATTTTGATTGCCTTGGTCTTCGAGTGCTTGATGAACAGGCCATTTTTGCATATTAATATTTTTGATCTTCATGTTTTTCAGATGGTGAGTTGTGGCCCACAGTTGTCATTGGACCCTTCAGTAGATCATCAAGGCCCCTACGTAAACGTTGCAGAAGATGGAATGGTAGCTGCCGTGGGAAATGAACAGGCGATGGACAATAAGATAGAAGATGTACTTGAACCGCAAAAGATCCATTACAGAGAAACTAAAGAAATGGTCTCAGGAGAAGAAGATGAAGAGATGATTCAGCCCGAATCACATTTGTTGGCAGAAATCCCACCATCATCTGAACAAGTTACTAGCGTGCAGGATGCGAAGCCTCTCGATGTAACTACTAGTGTTAGAAGATGCTTAGATCAGCAATCCCGACAAAGTAAGTGGTCGTTGTGGTTGCTTGTTTATGTTTCCATCGCCACAAGTTGGCCATTGGTTGGTTCTGCACTTAAAATTGTCTGGCAAAAGAAGCTCAGAAATTTATTTTCGTGATTCTATTGCCACCCTCCAATATACGAGAAATTTAGGAAATGATAAGAAACTGTTTCGCCCTAGAAGATTGTCGCTGAATGCTTACATTGTATTAAACTGTTATGAAAGAAGATGATAAACCAGTTGAGTCTGGATCAGTCGACTTCGATGACATTTTGAAACTTTTTGTCAGCGATCATCGCATCCATGAAACAAGTGAATGCCTTCATCAGAGCCAAACAAATCCCATACCAGAATCTCAGGCACAGCATCCTCGTACCCTTTGTCTTTTAACTTTTTCTGTCTGTACCATATTTTTAGACTAACAAGATTTTTGACGCAACTTGTGGAAGCCATACTTGTGGCAAGGGAAGGTTGAAATGCCTCTGTGAGTCTTTCCGGCTCCCGAAGGGGATGGATAAATGTAACTTGCCACCAGATGTTCCCTTAAAAAAAATAAAAGTAAAAATAAAAAATTTATGGTGCACTTCAGTTAACATGGTATTTCCTCAATTAATGGTGCACGTTTTCTTAAAATTGACAGCCTGAGGTATGTGTTAGTGTAATTTCTCAAACCTAATTTTTGTAAAAATTTGATAAGCTTTTGAGTTGTCAATAAAATCAACCCGACATACAAGTTGTGCTTTATTATTTTGGATGGTGCCTTCTTAATTTCTGACCGTCGAATCTAATGAATTGGAAAAATCAACCGACAAAAATTAACAAGGATGTGAGAAGTAAAAATGATAGAATAACACTGAACAAGGTTTTAGAGGGAAACAGTATAGCGTATCCTAGCTGATATTAACACACAGCTGCCCTCCATCTAATTAACCATCAGAGAAAAAAAGGTCTCTAAGTCCTGCTGTAACCGAAGCTTAACGAGCTTCCTGGAATCTGACTTTAATTTTATATAAGGTGGTTTTTGTCCTGTTTGACACCCAAGGATAGATATAAAGCGACCACACTGTGATTTATAGCCGTAAGGATACATAAGATGTGGCTATTTGGGGAAATGAATCAGTTGACTATTCTTCCTCTTGAATTTTGATTCATGCTTTTGAGTAACAGATAGCCATGCATATTCCCTCTCAGAGAAAAATTTTCATCTATCTGATGGTGGCACCATTGCTTTGGATTGGCTAAGGAACTCTGATGGTAACTATTATTTGGGTTAGCTGCATTTTACACCCTTCAGGTTTGAGGGTGATTTTCAAAATGGACTATGTGGTTCTAATTTTCTTGCATTGCACCCTTAAGTTTTGAAATTGTATCAATTTACACCTTTTGCTCGTTGAATATCTAACCCTCTATTAAATTGATGATTTTTTTGTCAATGTGGTGCAAATGTGGCTTAAACGTTAGCCCATATAGTTATCTCACACTCACTATTTCATCAATTTAATGAAGGATCAAGCAATCAATCCGACCAAATGCATATTTTGATGCTTTATGGTGTTAAATAAGAAAATTGAAACTTAATGGTACATTTGAAAATCACCCCAAACTTCAAGGGTGTGTAATGTCGTTAGAACCAAATTGTACTTACTTTATCATTTTAGTTTTATGTTTCTGATATAATTCCTTGATTCGAACCCCTGTATATTCCCCAAATCCACATCAAGGGCTTTGAAACTGGTGTCACCTATCAAACCCTGCAATTTAGAAGGTAGGAAATTCTTGCAAATAGCTAGATTAGATTGGTACTATAAAGAATTGAACCCCTGACCACGTGGGAGCAAGCTACTTGACTAAACCCTTATTGGTACTCAATTTCGTAGTGTCTTTAATTCTACTAGTTATTGTTCTGGTATTTGAAGTAACTTATCTCGTTTAAATAGAAATTCTTGGTTTTAGTCAAACAAGAAGTTAAAATAGGAAAATAAATATCTCAAGAAACCTGAAAGCTCTTGAATCTTGAATCTCAACTGGGTTTTTTTTTTTTTTTTCTTCAGGAAAAAAATTCTTTAAGATAAGACCTACCACTTTCCCACCCTATCCCAATGGAATTTGAGCTAGAGCTCATTGGGCTTGAATGAACATCACTGTTATTTTGGGCCTTAGTCATTGTGGTCACATAGGTCATTTCAACTTTTGGACTTTAATCTTATTCTTTTAGCTCATCTAATGTAGCGGCAACTCTAATTTAACACGTTTTAGACATACTAGACATCCGTTTGAGAAAATGGAAAAAGAAATATGGTTCATCCTTTGTCATACCATATACTGCCGGGCAAACAAACCATTTTGCTGTTGCCTTCACCTCCCCTGACACCTGTCTGCAAGTTACCAAATAAGCTTCAGCTAGATAAGAAAATTAATTGTGCATTTGATGCTGTTGTTTGAAAAACGGTGTTTGCTCCTTTCACATGTGTCATGGAATTGTAATTATTCATTTGGTTTATGTAGTAGTTTCATACTGAATGGAGTTACTTATCCTATGTTTTTTTGTTGTTTTGCAGCTTGGTGATAGATTTATAGGCCGTAGGCTGTTGCAGAAGTTTTAGGATAAAGCTCTTAACAATTGGCCTTCAAGGCTATGCTCAATTGTATGTCTATTCCTCCCTTTTAATTTGGGTAGTAAATACCTCGTAAAACATTTATGTAGTGTGCTAATTGGGAAGGCATTAAGAAGGATGGTGTTGTCTTTAAGAGTTTTTGGTTTAGCTCAGCATCTTTGTTCGAGCAGCGAATAAAGTACCCTGCTAGAAACAAATTGATTAGAATAAGCAACTTTTTTTACTTTGTGATTCTTTCTGATTTGGAAAGGAAACACTGAATTGTCGATTTATCACCTTATGAAATATTGTTAAAACCTGCAACAAGTAATTTTACTCCTGGAACTTTCAACTTTTGAACCCATGGACCACATAATAGTTGATTGTGGATTTATATTACTCATGGAAAACAGGAAACATCCAAATGAAACAGTTCTGTGGAAATAATCTCGGTGTGTGTGTGTGTTGTGCTTCGTTGAGTGGCGTTACCTGCCCTATACTAATCTTTGTTTGTTTGTTCTTCAATAGTCATGCTCCATTCGTGATTTTGATCAGCATGCTACCTGCATTGTTGGGAAATTTGAGGTATAAGGTCTGAGATTTCACTAATTCCTCTCACTTTACCTTTGTTCTATCTACTGCGTTAAGCTTCTGTTTTTTCTTTACAGACTGTGGACATATTTTACAGGCGCTGTACCAGTGCTACGGCGTTAAGCATATGCCTTGTATTTGTCTTCAACAGGGCAAACAAAAATATTGTATTGGCTACAACAAAGCATGTGGACACTTGGCTTTCTTTGAAGGATTAACTGCTTCTGGCACCTGGCACTTCATGATTCCATGTTACTTTATAGCTTTGTCCTTTTAAGCTTGTCGTAGTATGGTGTCTTTGTGTCATCATATGTTCGTTGCGGCTGTTGTCATCATACTCTCTTTGCGTCATAACTTTTGTTGTAACATGCGTGATTGATTTTCTTTCCCTTGCAGGTGGGTAAGGGCTGTTGATGAATATCTCAAAATTCTACACTCTAGCCAATATATGCATGTACAGAAGGTATAATTTTATTTTCCTTAGTCTTCGAGTGCTTAACCAAGTAATTTAGTTATTGGGTGCATGAAGTCTGCGTTTTAGTTTCTCATCACATTGTGTTCTACTATTAGTACGCAGCAGGATACCGGCCTTTTTGCAGATTAATATTGTTGATCTTCATGTTTTTCAGATGGTGAGTAGTTGCCCACAGTTTTCGTTGGACTTTTCAATAGATCATCAAGGTCCCTACGTAAACGTTGCAGAAGATGGAATGGTAGCCGCCGTGGGAAATGAACAGGCGATGGACAGTAAGATAGGAGATGTACTTGAACCGCAAAAGATCCATTGCAGAGTAACTAACGAAATGGTTTCTGGAGAACAAGATGAAGAGATGATTCAGGCAGAATCACACTTGTTTGCAGAAATCCCACAATCATCCGAACAAGTTACTAGCATGCAGGATGCAAAGCCTCTCGATGTAACTACCACTGTTGGAAGATGCTTAGATCAGCCATCCCAACAGACTAAGTGGTCGTTGTGGTTGCTTGTTTATGTTTCCATCGTCACAAGTTGGCCATTGGTTGGTTCTGCACTTAAAATTGTCTTGCAAGGGAAGCTCAGAAATTTGTTTTGGTGATTCTATTGCCAACCCCAATATCCGAGAAATTTAGGAAATGATAATACATGTAAGAAACTTGTTTCGTCCTAGAAGATCGTCGCTGTAATGCTTACATTGTTTTAAACATATTAAAGAAGATTATAAACCAGTTGAGTCTGGATCAGTCGACTACGACGACATTTTGAAACCTTTTGTCACTCGACGGTGCACCTCAATTAATATGGTATGTCCTCAATTGATGGTGCACGTTTTCTTAAATTGACGATGAGGTACATGTTTCTGACTGTCGTGATTCCTATTGAAGCATATACTCGATGTGGGTGCTATAGATTTTCTGATTTGAATTATAACTTCAAAATCTCATATTCATCTTAGGCCTTACGGGAAGGCTTTGATATATACACCACAACAACACTTTACAGATTAAACTGTAAGTGACAGCATGCACACACATGCTGCAGCACCATCTATACACCTTTACATATTAAACTACGAGATAACAGCACACACACATGCAGCATCACCATCTGCTGTCTTCTGACAGCACACATGGGAAAATGCTTTAACAGTAACCAAGCACGCATGGGAAGACTTCTGACAGCACACATGTACATGCACATACAGCTTGCCGTGCTGTATGCTTCTTCCAAGGTACATACACCCATGCTTGCCGACTAGGATTCTGCACTGCATGTGGAGCATCAAATCATGGAGTGGATGAACCGGCAGATTGACTTCCAAGGTACATACACCCATGCTTGCCGACTTGGTTACTGTTAAAGCATTTTCCTGTGTGTGCTGTCAGAAGACAGCAGATGGTGCTGCTGCATGTGTGTGTGCTGTTATCTCGTAGTTTAATATGTAAAGGTTTTCCCATGTGTGCTGTCAGAAGACAGCAGATGGTGCTGCTGCATGTGTGTGTGCTGTTATCTCGTAGTTTAATATGTAAAGGTGTATAGATGGTGCTGCAGCATGTGTGTGCATGCTGTCACTTACAGTTTAATCTGTAAAGTGTTGTTGTGGTGTATATATCAAAGCCTTCCCGTAAGGCCTAAGATGAATATGAGATTTTAACAGTAACCAAGCACGCATGGGAAGACTTCTGACAGCACACATGTACATGCACATACAGCTTGCCGTGCTGTATGCTTCTTCCAAGGTACATACACCCATGCTTGCCGACTAGGATTCTGCACTGCATGTGGAGCATCAAATCATGGAGTGGATGAACCGGCAGATTGACTTGGGTTAACAGCCCCCCGCAAGCGAACAGGTGGGGGAACAACTGGAAGCTTGGAGACAAGAAACTTAAATCGTGAAGAAGAGAGGCCTTTAGTAAAAATGTCAGCAAGCTGGTCTTGAGAACACACATAACTTACTACGAGCTGTTTTCGAACCACCTTTTCACGAACATAATGGTAGTCGACCTCCAGATGCTTAGTGCGCGAGTGGAAGACTGGATTGGATGCCAGGGCAATTGAGGAAATGTTGTCACACCAAATGGTTGGTGGAACCAAATTTAAATGAAGATCTTTGTAGAGAGACCTTAACCATGATAATTCTGCAGCAGTATAAGCTAATTGGCGATACTCCACTTCTGCACTTGAATGTGAAACGGTCTTCTGCTTCTTTGAACTCCAGGAGACAAGATTAGAACCCAAATAAACACAGAAACCACCCGTAGAATGACGAGTATCAAGGTTGCCAGCGTAATCTGCATCCGAATAAGCTGTCAACGTAGCAGTTCCTGGTTGATATAGTAAGCCATGATTATATGTAGCCTTTAGATACCGAAGAATTCTCTTGACTGCCATCCAGTGTGTGTTTTTCGGGGAATGCATAAACTGGCACACTTGATTCACAGCGTAGGACAGATCAGGTCATGTGATGGTGAGGTACTGGAGCGCCCCCACAACACTGCGATACATCTCTGGTTTGACGTAAGGATCGCCAATATGAGCACTCAGTTTCTGACCAGACGACACAGGAGTAGAAATAGGTTTGGCATCTGTGAATTTTGTGCAAGTGAGGTGATCCAGTGCATATTTAGACTGACAAAGATGCATGGCATCACCATTATACTTCACTTCAATGCCTAAGAAATAACTGAGCGGTCCCAAATCTTTAATTAGAAACAAACTACCAAGTTTCTGAATCAAATGAGCCACCTGGCGTGGATTGTTCCCTGTTATAAGAATGTCGTCGACATAAATTAACAGAATAATATATATACCCTGCCTGTCAAACACAAAAAGGTTGTAATCACACGTAGATTCCTCAAACCCTAGTTGAAACAAGAAATCAGAGAACCGTTGAAACCAAGCCCTAGGCGCTTGTTTGAGACCATAAAGAGATCGATGTAGCTTACATACATGATGAGGAAACTGGTTGTCAATGAAGCCTGATGGTTGTCTCATGTAAACATGTTCATTTAAGTATCCATGCAAAAACGCATTCTGCACATCAAGTTGGCGTACAGGCCACTTCTTTGACACAGCAAGACTCAACACGAGTCGAATGGTGCTATGCTTTACCACAGGGCTGAAAGTTTTGGTGTAATCCACACCAGCTTTCTGATGAAAACCATTGGCAACTAACCGAGCTTTATGTCGCTCAAGAGTGCCATCAGCGTGACTTTAATTTTAAACACCCATTTGTTGGGTAGCACATTCATTGTAGAATTGTACGGAACCAAGCTCCAAGTTCCATTTCTTTGTAGTGCATTAAACTCCTGCGCCATAGCTTCTCTCCACGCCTGATGTTTGACTGCCTGACTGAAACAGGTAGGCTCAACAAGAGAGTTATCAAGTGCAACATGCATAGCATATTTTGGATTTAGTTTGTGAACCCCTAATTTAGACCGTGTAGTCATAGAATGTCCAGTATCACTGGGGACAGTGGGTTGCACACGATGTTCAGTTACTAAAACTTGCTCATTTGATGATAGTGAGGGTCCTATAGATAGGTTAGGGTCTAAAGGTGGGTTGAGTTGTGATACAGGTTCAACCATGGATGGTGGATTAGTGGGTAATGGAAAGTTAGGTAAGATATGAGGGAAAAAATTGTTACCTTGTTCGTCGACACTGTCAAAAGGAGATGTGAGTCCCTTAAAAGGGAATGAGTCCTCGTCGAATAGAACATGGCGAGACAAATAAACTCGTCTTGTGGTCATGTCCAAGCATCTGTATCCTTGATGGTTCAAAGAATATCCAAGAAAAACACAGGACTTTGATTTTGGTTGTAACTTGTTTTGCGTGTATGGTGTTAGCCATGGAAAGCAACGGCAACCAAACACCTTCAGAAACTCATAATTGGGTTTTCTTTGAAATAATTTCTCAAACGGAGATGTATCAAATAATACACGAGTAGGTAATCGATTTATTAGATATGTGGCAGTTGAGCATGCGTCAAACCAAAACGTAGTTGATATGAAAGATTGAGCAAGCATAACCATGGCAGTTTCGACAATATGTCGATGTTTTCGTTCAGCTAAACCATTTTGTTCAGGATGTTTAGGGCAAGAAAAACGTTGAGAAATACCATGAATATCAAGAAACCTTTGAAAAAAATGATTCTTATATTCACCACCTTCATCACATTGAAGAGTTTTTATGGATTTGTTAAACATATTTTCAACTTTGGCTTTAAACTTCACAAATATCGCAAAAACTTCAGATTTTTGTTTCATGGGAAAAATCCATGAATATCGCGAATAATCATCCACAAACAACAAATAATAACGAAAACCTTCGTTAGAAGGAATTGGAGAACACCACACATCTGAATGAATAAGTTGCAAAGGAAATTGAGACCTAGACTCGGACAATTTGAAAGGTAATTTAGTACTTTTACCTAGAGGACATGACTCACAAAAGCGTACATCAGAGGTACCATGAATTGGTACCAATTTTTTTGAAATTAAAAACTTGATTATTGGTTTTGCAGGATGGCCAAGACATGCATGCCACTTTTGAACCGACACTCGAACTCCCACACATGCAGTAACAGAATGCTTGAGACAGCCACTGCCATTTGGAAATGGGTACAACCCATTCTCACGTCTCTCTCGGAAAAACGTCTTCCGTGTCTTGAGGTCCTTTACAAGGAAAACATGGGGAAAAATAAGTAAGTAACAATCATTATCTAGGGTAAATTGATGAGCAGAAAGGATATTAATGGAGGCAGTTGGGCAATGAAGAATGTCACGTAAAACAAATGAGCAAGATTTAGTTTGAAGTTTACTGGAACCATAATGTGCAATTGAGATGCCCGTGTGATTACCTACACCTCCTACTCCTTCATTCCCGTGATACTCTTTGGGATTGGCCAAATTATGAATGTCAGAAGTAATGTGTGCATTGGCTCCTGTGTCTAGGAGCCAAGAACCATTCTGCTGTTTGTTAAGAGTAATTGGTGAAGAAGTCATGGCCGAGAGTCGTTTGGCCGGAATTCGTCCTTCAAAGCCAGTGTTCATGCGCTGGTAGCAATCCAACGCAGGATGACCTGGTTTACCACATATCTGACACACAATTCTATCACCACAAGAAACAAACCTTTCGCCAGTACCTTGATTATTCTGCGAAGCATTGTAATGGCGAGGATTGGGACCTCGTTGAGCACCACCACGATATGAGTAGTTCCCGCGTCCACCACCACAAGAACGACCACCCCCACGTCCTCGAGAAGCCACGAAGGCATTAACAGTGGCTCCTTCAACCAACGGAACATTGTGTTCCATCATTCTCCTTTCTGTTGTCAGCAGCAAGGATTCAAGGGCAGGATAAGTGATAGGGTTGTCACGAGCTTGTGCTGCGCTCACAGTCATCTCATACGCTGGTCCAAGATTATTCAACACAATCTGGACCAGTTCATCATCACTCACAGGTTGCCCAGCAAGAGCAAGATTGTCAGCAATCGCATTCATGCGATCAAGGTAATCCGTCACAGAGAGATCACCTTTTTTGGTCTGCAACAATTCATTCCTTAGAAACAAAATACGATTCTGAGACGTGGATGCATACCTTTGCTCCAGAGCTTCCCAAGTAGCTCGAGCAGTTCTTTTGCTTGCCACCACAGACAAGACAGACGCAGTCAGAGATCCATTAATCCAGCTAAGGATCATTTGATCCTGTTGCACCCACGTTGTGTACGAAGGATTCACGGTTGTCAAACCAGCAACATGTTTTGGGGGACACACCAAGGTGCCATCAGCATACCCCATCAAGTCCCGGCTTTTTAAAATAGGGAGAATTTGAGCCAACCACAGTGGGTAGTTGGTTCTATCAAGTTTGATATTGACGATAATGGAAAAAGGTTGAAAGGTGGTGGTTTGGGGGTTAGGGTTGATAGCAGGGACATTGTTTCCAGCCATGGAAGCGATGATGGACAGAATAATAGGTTAGGATCTTTGTCGTTAGACAAAAAAGGCTCTAGAGACCATATAGATTTTCTGATTTGAATTATAACTTCAAAATCTCATATTCATCTTAGGCCTTACGGGAAGGCTTTGATATATACACCACAACAACACTTTACAGATTAAACTATAAGTGACAGCATGCACACACATGCTGCAGCACCATCTATACACCTTTACATATTAAACTACGAGATAACAGCACACACACATGCAGCAGCACCATCTGCTGTCTTCTGACAGCACACATGGGAAAATGCTTTAACAGTAACCAAGCACGCATGGGAAGACTTCTGACAGCACACATGTACATGCACATACAGCTTGCCGTGTTGTATGCTTCTTCCAAGGTACATACACCCATGCTTGCCGACTAGGATTCTGCACTGCATGTGGAGTATCAAATCATGGAGTGGATGAACCGGCAGATTGACTTGGGTTAACAGGTGCAGGGTGGACGATTTCAAAGCAGACTCCCCATTCATTAGATAGAGAAGATCACCAAGATTTCCCCTCAATTCCTTTGAGTTTCATTCTTGCGACCGTACTCCCAAGCAGTATACTTAACTCGTTAGCTATAGCACTGCACGGATCGATACGCACAACGTCAATTATCCATCGTTTACGATTAGGACTATTGGGGGAAGCACATATTCCTCCAGGTGGCGATTAGGGCGTGGACATAAGGGTGTAATGAATTGGAGAAATCAATGGATAAAAATCAACAGGAGTGTCTAATGAGTAAAAAGGGCATGTGAATACCACTGCTTATGATATTGTGGACGTGGCACAACATCAGTGGTTACTGGAGGAAATAACATGAACCTTCAAACACCTGATCACTAATGGCTTTTAAATCACCGTCTCTCTATCGCCCCTCCCCAGCGACCCCACTCTCTGTATTCCGACGCCGCCTATAAACACCTTCTCTTGTTGTCTCATGCCCTCCTAGCAATCATTTCCCAGATGACCACCACCACCACCGACATCCGCCACGGAGCCACCAAAGATTAGTCCACACTCCACACTCCAGAGGTAAATTATATGGAAGCTATTAAATAGCCAATCATAGATAGGAAACGAATGAACTATATATTTACATATACAAAGATTTCTCGTTTAATTTGTGTATTATGTTATCTGAGCTCTGTTCCTATTAAGGTTGGTGATGTTTGGTTTCTGGGTATTCAAACGTTGTTCATTTCCCTGTTTTGTTTGTTTTTTAATATCTTGGTTTTAATTGCCTCCTCAGCATTAGTGTGTGAACACCTTACTTGTGTAAGTGATCCTGCAATAGTAGAGCGGAGAAAACAAGTTGGGGGTTTTTCTCAAGGGTATAGAGGGACCCAACTGATCTTATTGTGTATGAGTGTTGTTTGTTTAGTTCTTGCTACATTTATCGGTGCGGCTTTTCGTACAAATGTATCTCTTTTTATTGTAGGTATGGTCTGAATTGAGATTAGGCTCATATGATTTTGTGTTCAATGCTTTCTACCATAGGTCAATCAATTTCGGAGTGGTTCTGAATTTCCGTATCTTTTGATAGTTTTTGACGTATTGATACTTTGCTGTATGAACTAAAACAAATGCATATTTGTGAAATACTGGAAATGCAATCAGTTCTTTGGACTTGCTATAAAGTTTTCTGAAAAAAAGGGTATAGGTTGCCATTTTCTTGGCGACTGCATTACTACTGCTCACAATGTGCGTTTACCTTACTAGTCACAATGTCTGTATAACGGTAGGCGTTCTATCTTGAGACATAAGCCCATTACAAAAGGCTTGTAAACTACTGTTAAAGGAACTTCTGTTTTTGGTTTTTGTTTCGAAGCATTTTCATTGATCCATTTTATCAAAGTTCTATTAAATTACTGTTGTGTTGCTGCATTTGTATAGCCACCTTCTATTTGTAAAACATTAACATTCATCAAATTGGAACATCAATCAAGTATACCATACTTCTTGTAAGACTGGTTGGCTGTTCCATTTCATTTTCAATAACTTGGGCCAGGTTTACACCTAAATTTGTTCTGTGATGTTAGATTCTAAGAGTGATGTTAGTTTCTAAGAATTGTCTGGCTACTAGAAAAAAATTGATCCTTCTTTTCGAAATTTTTTCAAAGGATTTGCGATTTATGTTTTGAGTGGAGTACTAATGTGACATGACAATTTAGAGGAAGTGTACTGATTCGGTTAATTATGTGGTAGTTATGTGGACCATCCTTATAAATGGTTTATAAATGGTTCATTTGTGAAGGGCCATTTACCTTGAGGATGGTTGATTTTTCTTCCTTTCTTGTATTCATCATCATGTGTCTACCTGTTCCAATTATCAACCATCGAGCTCTTAGAATTTGTAACTCTTATTTGTTTTGAATCTTGAGTTAATTATGTACAGATTATCACTAAATTAAAAGATAAGCAGTATCTACAATTAGTTGTGAACAAAGAATGTCATATATTGATTTGTTTTTTAGATGTCTTGATGATATTGCATTCAACAGGGTGCAAGCTTGACTCTCCTATTGATTTGTTAATTTCTGATGGCGAGCTCTTTGCAACACTTCTCCAGCCATGTTCGTCTTTCTCGAACCACTATTGTCTCAGGATCCAAACCTTTCTTGGTGGACGCATTTGTCAAGATCAAACCTGTTGAGGTAAGGATGGTCCTTGGCTTTGAGAAGAACATAGTCATAGTGGACCCTCAACCTTTTTCTTTTTAAAATTTAATCTAATTAATTATCTGTTTTACGGAGTCTTCCATTGGGGCACATAATCCATTTCTTTTATCAAGTAATCTCCTATGTTAGGGAAACAGTTTTGGTATGGTAATACAATGGGGGCATTTGCACAATTTGGTATATTCCTGTGAAAATAAAAAAATTTAGGACAGAACATTTTTCTTTCCATGAACTCCCAAGTTCTGCATAGTCACCAAACCAGTTTTTGCTATCAAAAGTAATTGTGCATTTTTGCTTGGTAAAATCTGTCGTCTGTTGTCTTTTCTTCTAATTCTTTCATTGTTACATGACAGCATGTAATGGGCTTACCTGCCACAACTGCAACCCAACAAGGACCAGGGTAAGTTGAGAGGTGGAAAATCAATGGAAGTATGTTCCGTTTTTGGATGTTCTGCTCACCGGTGTAAATGATCAGCTAGAAGTCACTGTCTTAAGGATGTTTTCTGTTATTATCAATAACTTAATAGTGGTAATAGGTATTATACTTTATGCTTAACGTAATCTTCTGCACCAGGGTATTTACTAAACAATGTAAATGTTCTGTCAGAAATCATATTTATGTTTTCTACTGAAGTTATCTAAATATGTGTTTATATTTCATCTTGAGTTCTTTGCATAGTGACTAATCAAACCGCTCTTTTTAGAGTCAATACCAAATCCAAACTACTTAACGAGGGTGTAACTGCCAACATTTTATTGCTGCTAGGTTATGAATAGTCGGAGCATCCAAATATTTTTTACATCAAAGGTTGCCTGAATGTCCAACACATAACAACCAAAAGTTCCCTGCAGGTCCTTATCAAGATTTGCCTCCTCCACTCTTTCCCGTGCCCTCAGCACAGCCACTGCTGCAAGTGAGACTCAGACCCAGAAGCTTGAGCGCATTGCCGACGATCTCCTTGACCTCACAAAGCTCGAGAGGCACGACTACTCCATCCTTTTCAGGCTGAAAATGGGCCTCAATCGGTACGGCCCAGCAGTCTCGGGTATTGGCTCGGCATCTTCTGAATCTGGGCCTGCTTCAACAGAATCCAAGGTCGCTGAGAAGTCTGCATTTGATATAAAGATTGAGAAATTCGACGCAGCGGCAAAGATCAAGATCATAAAGGAGGTTAGGACTTTCACTGACTTGGGACTGAAGGAGGCTAAAGAGTTGGTGGAGAAGGTCCCTGTTGTGGTGAAGAAAGGGTTAACCAAGGAGGAGGCGGGGCCCATTGTCGACAAGCTTAAGGAGTTGGGTGCCACTGTGGTATTGGAATAAATTGAATTATGCTATTTTGTTTTGCTTATTTCTTCTGTTTCCTTTCACTTAGGATAGTTGAGTTAAATGATAAAGGGAAGATAATATATGCTTTGCGCCAGAGTTCTGGAGGTTAGGATTGTTCCAAAACGTTTCCACCACCCAATGAATTATTTTTATCTGTGGCGATTTTGATGCTCGTCTTTCAGTCGTCTGCACTTTAAACTGAATATTTTACAATTATTTCTATATTCACACGAGGGCATGTGTTTTGTATGGTCAACATGCACTGATAGTTTCACTGGCTGCTGCCCTGGACTTGTTATTTCTCTATTAACGGCAAATTGAACTGTATCTTTTCTGCGGTGGAGGATGGATGATTTTGGTTTGGTTTGATTTGGTTTGGTTGACTACCTCCGCTAAATTCTAACAGTTTAATCACAAAAAATTATAAAGAATTGAACCCAAGACCTTTACATTCGTTGATATTAAAGTAGAAGGTCAAGAAATTTACATCCTTACATTAAAAGAGTTACAGCCGACCAAAAACGTAAGAGTTACAAACTGGGTTCAATTTGAAAAAGCCACATTGTAAGACCATCTTTAGTCTTTGGGTTAAAACTTAAAATTTTTACCCCAGAAAATTTAGGCTAAAAATTTTAAGCTTTAACCCAAAAACAGCTATTTTGCTCCAACCCTTCTAGGTTAAAATTTTAGCCTCAGATTATTAAAGGATGAATTTAGGCTAATTTATTTTCTTAAAGTAACTTTTTTAAAAGAAAAAAAATTATATAGACTATCCTAATTTAATTTTATGAACATTTTAACCTAAAATTATTTAGATTTTGACAAATATTGAAAAATCACTAACCGACACCATGAAACTCGTGAAACACTATGAAAAAAATATGAAATACATAAAAAAATTTCTTTTTAATTACTTTAGCCGTTGGATTTAAATTTAGACAGTTAGATTTTATTTTTTTTAACGTTGGATTTCATCAAATTAGATCTTAACCGTTGGATTCAATGAATTTATAAATATAAAACTAAAAAAAATATACATAAATTTGACCTAGAAATGAGTTTTGAGTTTTAACTCATATTTGCCCCAAGGATTGAAGCAAGTTGGAGTAAGTTTATAACCTAAATTTTAAGTTTTACTCCAATAATTGGAGTAGGTCTAAGAGTTGTAATACTGTAAATTTATTGCATCTGACCACCATCAGGTGATCACCAAGCGGAGAGATCCCAACACACTGCTAGGGTATGTCACCAACTACCATTGCAGAGGAGGCGTTGAGAGGGAGAGATTTTTTAGTGTGACCATCATACGAGATGGTACATCATATGTCTTTATATAAATTGTGGGATATGTGTGTTAAAAGGTTAATAACTTAAAAATTAAAATTTTCCACCACTACATGGTGTACCGTCATTGTTCCGTCACAACTAAAAATTTCTCGTTGAGGGAATGCGAAAGGTGCAGTCGCATAGAGCTCCAAATTTGAAGGGGCCCCCAAAATTTTTGTCACTAATATTTACATGTAATAATATTCTATATTTAAAATTGATTTTGTTAGCACTTTAAAATCTCATCTTACACTCCTTATAAGCATAATTTTTTTTCCCTTCCAAATATAAAAATTTAGAGTACAATCAAGTATTTTGAGTGCCAATAATACATCATAAAAGACGGTATTATTTCAATATTATTATATAATAATGTTACATATTCAAGTGAAACTTTAAAGTTAAGAGTTTTTGAAGTTTGTTTTCTTGTTTGGTTGTTTAAAATTGAAATGTTTTTTTATTATTTAGTGAACGTTATGTTTGTAGCTCTTTTTACTTATTATTAACATTTTTAAACTTTTAATCAGTGAGTGCTAAACTTTGATTTAATTTAAGTGATTGTTTTCTAGCATCAATACAATGTCATACATTTTTTTTAAGACTATCTTAAGGAAGAGCACTTTTATAAATCTCGTACAGGCTCCTAAAATCTCATACACGATCCTGTACCATTGAAATGGTAAACTTACCGTAGCCTAAGGACATCACGTACAGTTGATGAGCTAAACTGGTCTGCATAACCCGGCATGTAAAAATGGTGAGTCTGCTTGCTGCTATGTGATGATGCAGCCTTCCTAAAAACAATTCCAGGTTTTCATGAGACTGCAAAAACCTCTTTTAGCGGATCATGTCGATTTAAAATTTGGCATTGTATTTGAAAGAGCATCTGGGCATCGCCATATGTCGACCTCAGACTCGATGCGACAGAATACTTGTAAACAACACAATATAAGTTCCATTTTTATTAAACTATGTCCTCCATAACGAAAACAACCAAGAGAACTTTGATGCTTCCACGTTTTTATATGATTTTTGAGGATTCAAGGCCATCATTGGACTCATTCAGACGGCTGTTTCAAAGAAAATCCAAGAATTGAGGTGTTAGCTCTTCCCCTCCCGTCTTATTTAGGGTAGCCAAATGCTGCCGACGACGACAATGTTTCAAGACGGTAGGCTTGATACCCTAACTTTTTCCCGCTGTTTTTTTTGTCAGAATGTATACGGCATCTTCTTAGCCATCGGGATCTATCAAACCAACGGTTTAATTTACGGATAAAAAATCAAACACTTTTCATAAATTTCCAAAACAGCCTTCATCAAATATGTTTTCTAAACCGAAGACATGATTCTCTCTCAAGAAGAATATAAAGATACCCATCTCTTGTCTCTCCATCTCATAGGTTACAAAAAATAATAAATAAAAAAACCAAAAATAAAAAATAATGACAGAATGGAATTTTCAGAATGAGATATTCCATCCCTTCCTGCCGTATATAAATGCTCATTCATGATCTCTTTCATCATGTTCTCAATCTAGTACTAGATTCCCTCTCTCTCTCTCTCTCTCTCTCTCTCTCTCTCTCTATTATTTTTTAGGGTTTTGTGTTTTTTGTCTCTCTAAATCCATGGAAGACATAGATGAGGAGGAGGAGCTTTTGAATCTTAGCCTTGCGATTGTTACAAGTTCAGGGAGGGAAAGATTTAGAAAAAGGAAGAGATCAAGAGATGATGGTGTTGTTAATAGTTCGGTGAGGCCTCTGAACTCTTATGAAGGTTGTGAAGGGAAGATATTCAGGCTTCTTCAAATGAGGGAACAAATGCTAAAAAACCTAGACCACCACAAGAAGAAAGGGGTTGATGTCGATGATGAAGACGGAAAAGGACTCCACCTGATCCACATGTTGCTCATAACAGCCACTGCAGTCAACGAAAACAATGTAGGCTCAGCCTTGGAGCATCTCACTGAGTTGTACAAGAGTGTTTCATTATCCGGTGACTCCATCCAACGAGTAGTGGCTTATTTCGCAGACAGCTTGGCTGCAAGGCTTCTCACACGAAGATCCCCCTTTTATGACATCATCATGAAGGAACCGACGAGTGAAGAAGAGTTTGTAGCGTTCACCGCTCTCTATCGGGTGTCTCCGTACTACCAATTTGCTCATTTCACGGCAATCCAAGCAATCATTGAGGCCTTTGAGAAGGAAGAAGAGAAGAACAATCGTGCATTACATGTTATCGATTTCGATGTCTCCTATGGATTTCAGTGGGCATCTCTTATACAGTCTCTCTCCGAGAAGGCAAGCAGTAGGAAGCGAATATCGCTTAGAATAACAGGGTTTGGAAGAAGCGTGGACGAGCTACGGGAAACGGAGAACAGACTGACAAGCTTCTCAAAGGGGTTTCAGAATCTTGCTTTTGAATTTCAAGGGTTGTTGAGAGGCTCAAAGCTCGTAAACTTGAGGAAAAAGAGGAACGAAACACTGGCAGTGAATTTGGATTTTCATTTAAATACTTTGAGCAATAATTTGAAGATATCTGACTTGTTAAAATCTGTACATTTACTTAACCCTTCCATTGTAATCTTGGTTGAACAAGAAGGGACCAGTAGTCCTCGAAGATTCTTATCGAGATTCATGGAGTCTTTGCATTATTTTGCAGCCATGTTTGATTCTTTAGATGAATGTCTGCCATTAAAGAGTGCTGAAAGGTTGAGCATTGAGAAGAACCACCTTGGAAAAGAGATCAAAAGCATGCTCAATTACGACAATAACAACGATGATAATTGTCCGAAAATTGAAAAGATGGAAACATGGAAGGTGAGGATGGAGAGCCATGGTTTTGAAGGAATAAATCTAAGCTCCAGGTCCAAGATACAAGCAAGACTTCTTTTGAAAATTAGGACTCACTATTGTTCCCTTCAGTTTGATGGAGAGAGTAATGGAGCAGCAGCTGGGTTCAAGGTTTTCGAAAGAGAAGATGGAAGGACGATATCTCTTGGGTGGCAAGACAGGCATCTGCTTACAGTTTCCGCATGGCACTGTACTGTACCATAACTATATATACTAATAATCACCAACACATTCATTGATTATCAATTGGTAATCTTCTCCTTCTTCTCCTTCTTCAGATATAATAACTTTGAATTTAAGCAGCTATTGTTTGTTCATGATCACATAGATCTGATTGACTCTTTACACATATTGTATCAACTCAGATAATCAGAATAATGCAGTTCCATTTTACTTCATCTGTTTCAGTATCAATTAAGAACGTCCTCCAGTCCCCTCTATATATATAAAATTGACATTGCTTTGACACAAAATACACCATATTCAGATAGCTAAGAACCCGTTTGATAACAATTTCCTTTTGTTGAGATGTGAGGAAAGTATTCGAATGAATGATGGATGAAAGAACAGTGGTGGAGAGGGAGAGAAAGAAATAAAGAAGTATGAATAAAAACAAAACAACAGGTTTTAGTTTTCCCTTTCTGTACCTGTATTACGCATTTCATCTACATCTATCAAACCATTTTACCTTAGGCCGGCCGGTAAGAGGAGCCTGGTGAGACGGCCACCTAGGGTTCCCGATCGAGCGAAGGTCCATGTTAGTCTAGAACTAATGTACTAAGTTAGGACTTTTTGTCTATTGGCTTCTTGACTATAAAACTACACGCATAGTTACTTGTAATAGCTATTATCACTCAGTCACCTAATATGATAGACACAGAAATATGGTAGTGGCAATTGAAGGTTGATTTCATGAGAGAAATGAAGTAGCTTGGTACAAGTTCACGGTATGATCACATGCATACATTTCATGCATTTGCACTTGGG